ACGTTAGCCTTCCTGCTCCTCTGATGCTGCTTGGCCTGCTGTGTTCATCCAGCTCTACACCTTGTTATCTCAGATTCTCCAGCATCTGCAGTTCCTACTATCTCTGATATTAAGTACATTCCAGGTTTACATACTTTCTGGCCTCCTTGGTGGGATAGAATTGATTTTCATCCTGTTCCTCCAGCATCACCCAATACTTGTTGTTATATTCAACCACCTCCTTCCCCTTCTCGTTTTTGGATTTCATCTCTGGATAGTACGATATCACCCGAGTAAGGTTTCTGTGCCTGAAATTTTTAAGAAATAGCAAGTAAACCATACAGGGAGATGAACCGTTGCATTATATAAAATCATGGAATGATTACAGCACAAAAGACCCATGTCTGTGAGACAGCTCTCTACAAAAGCAAATCAGTCCCACTGCCCTAACTTTTTTCCATGAGCTTAAACAATCTCTTTCATCAGGTGGTTATTCAATTCCCTTTTGAAAGCCATCCTATCATCACAATTGCCTGGGAAAGTGGTGGATGCAGGTACAATGACAACATTTAAAAGATATTTGGACAGGTACACTAACAGGAAAGGTTTAGAGGGATATGGGCCAAAGGCAGCCAAATGGGACTAGTTTAGTTTGGGAAAACTGGTCAGCATGGAGGAGTTGGACCAAAGGGTATATTTCTTTGCTGTGTGACTCTCTGACTCTATAACCAAGCCACGATTGTTCCTGCATCCACTACACACACACTGGTGGTGAGCTCCAGATCTCAACCACATGCTGTGTAAAATTCACGTCACCCCCATATCTTTTACCAACCACATTAAGTTGGTGTCTTTTGGCTTTCGATCACTCCACCATAAGAAAGTTTCTCTGTATGCTGTCTAGAGTCCTCATGATTTTGAACATTTCTATCGGATTTCCTCGCCACCTTCTCTCCTCCAAGGAAAGCAACCCCTTCAGCTTTTCCAAGTTATCCTTTTAACTGAAGTCCCTCAGCCCTAGAATAAGTTCTTTTCTATATTTTTTTCTGCATCTCTCCAAAGCATTAATGTTCTTCCTGAAGCTGTTGCCATCAGCTTTCCATAGATTCAAGGATGACACTGACACATGGTTGCAAGTTACTGCTCTGGGTCCATATGTGGCTGAAAAGGCTGATCCAAACCCCTGTACCTTCTGGCATAGGTCATCCCATAGGTAGCAGAAACTGGAGAAAGTACTTCTCGAATTGGATACAATACTCCAGAGCCAAACCAGTGTTTTTGAAAAATTCATCATTACCTGCTTGATTTCTTAAAATTCTGTCTCAACTTATAAAGCTCAGTATCTGATTTGCCTTTTTAACCATTTTTTTCCAACTGTCCTGCCACCTTCCATACAAACCAAAAACTGCGGATGCTAGAAATCAGAAACAAAAACAGAAATTGCTGGAAAAGCTCAGAAGGTTTGGCAGCATCTGTAGAGAGACATCAGAGTTACATTTTGGGTCCAGTGACCCTTCCTCAGAATCACCACCTTCAATGATTTGTACACAAGTTCCCCAGGTCTCTCTGTACCTGCAGAGAAATAGACCTTTTATGTTCTAATGCCTCTCCTCATTCTTCCTACCAAAACATATCACTTGGCACTTCTCTGAGCTCGCTACACCAGCCTGTCTCCTTCTTGAAGTTTAATACTATCCTTCTCACAGTTTGCAATACTTCCAACTTCTGTTTTGTAAATTGCTGCTCACAAACATGTAAACAGTTCTAGTATTTACAATAACAATGCTTTCAAAGAGCGATATCAAAGTTTTCACATTGCTGATGCGCACATGGCACAGTAATCGCACATCCACCCAGTTCGTGAGCAGTGCATACCACGAAAGCAAGGGGTGGGTAAAAGGAAGAGGTGAATTGGAGTAAGCCAGCCTCTTCCAGAGAAGTGGTGAGGCAATTCCCTAGGGACCTCAGATCACTCCATGCCTTCTCCCAACAGTGGGCTCACATGTTGATGTAGGCACAAGGACCCAGGGCTTCAGCTCTGTTGAGTTAGTTTTTGTTTGGTGCCATACGTATGAAATTGACCAAGTCAGTGCAAAAGACCATGGAATTTTAAGTACAAATTGCATCCAGCACAACTTAGATAGCCACAATCTTTTACATTAGAAAGCAATTTGTTCAAAGCTAATCCACCCTCAAAATTGGCCATACCTTCACTTTAAATGAATTAATCACCATTAAGGAGGTTTTTTTTTATTCATTCATACGACATGGGCATTGCTGGATGGCGGCATTTATTGCTTGTCCCTAGCTGCCCTTGAACTGAGTGGCCTGCTAGGCCATATCAGACAGCAACTAAGAGTCAACCACATTGCTGTGGGTCTAGATTCATATGTAGGCCAGACCAGGTGAGGATGGCAATTTCCTTCCCCGAAGGGCAGTAGTGAACCAGAAGGGTTTTTATGACAATTGGCAATGGTTTCATGGTCAGCAGTAGAGTCTTAATTCCAGTTTTTTTTTATTGAATTCAAATTCCACCGTCTGTCATTCAAACCCAGCACATTGGCTGAGCTTCGGGATTAAGAGTCTAGCGACAATACCACTAGGCTGTATTGATTGTAATAAGGTCAGCCAGGTGGACCTCAGACTACAAATTCCTTGGTTGGACCAGATTAACAGCACGAATCAGAGAATCCTGGCCGACAGATATAAACAGGAGTGTCAGAGGTTCTGTTCACTCAGACCTGGCTCTGAAGAAACTGGATCAGTGTCAAAGACTCTCCACATGTAAATAAAGGGTGACTTGGTGATAGGATACCAGCCTCTGTGGACCTTTTTTAAAGGCCATTGCCTCGCACTCTGTTTTTGTTTCAAATTTCTAGCATCTTCAGTTCTGTGTTTATTTTCATTTGCTTGTTATACTGGGTTCCAGAGGGTAGTGTATGAATGGAATGAGCTGCTAGAGGAAGTAATGGAGGCTGGTATGATTACAACATTTATAAGGCATCTGGATGAATACGAAGGGTTGAGAGGGATATGGGCCAAATGCTGGCAAATGGGACTAGATTGTTTTAGGATATCTGGTTGGCATAGATGAGTTGGACTGAAGAGTCTGTTCCTATGCTGTACATCTCTATGACTCTGTCTTTAAATTGTTTCTTGGCAAATTAAAAATTATATTCAAAAGCTTTAAGAAAACTTGCCAGTAGCGTATCTGTGCTGAAAGGAATTGGCTTATGTTATGCAATCTTTCTTTCCAAAGGTCTATAAACAAGTACATTAGCATAAATTAATATCACTAATTAATGTTATTTGTTTATGCTAATTGCACTTGTTTATAGGCTCTACAGAAAGGTTGTACAAATTGAGCTGATTCCTTTTGGCACAAACACACTCTTGTACCCTAACAAGTTCTTAAAGCTTTTGAATATAATTTTAATTTACAAATAAACTGATTTCTGTACCCCAGTATAACTAATAAACAAAATAAATGCAAAAGAACTCCAGATTCTGGAAATATGAAACAAAATCAAAGCATGCAGGAGAAACACCGCAGATCTGGCAGCATCCATAGAGAGAAAACAGAGTTAACTTTGAGTCCACGTCAGAACTGAAGATAGGTGGGGAAGGGTGGAGTTTATGCTAATGACAGGATGAGGTTGAGGAGGCTAGAGATTAGAGTACATGAAAACAGTCTTTCTGGATACTGCACATGAGTAGGGTGCCAATCAGCTTAAGAAAGGCAAGAAGGGAGAAAAATAAATCACACAATTTCCAAGAGTTATTAAATGGTGCTACAGGCCAAACCTAGGTTACTATGCTAGCCTCTGAATCGATAGATCGGCATGGGTCACAAAATAATACACTTCAGCATCAGAGCCCTACTTTATATAATTCCTACTATTGCAAAGAAAAAGGAAGTCCTCAGAATTTTTGGGGGTTTTCCGAACCAGTGGAGAAAAATCTTAGGAAATGGACCAAAAAAGGAGAAGCAGTATTTATAATATTATGAGCGTGAGGGATAGAATAGATGGTAATGTGTTTTAAGCATGTGAAGGAGATTGCAGCAAAAACAGAAGAGTCGTGTGTGAGTGAGAGAGGAGAACAGATTGGATACAGGTCTCTCAATTACTAAAGCGGGGTGTCAAAAGGAGTGTGTGCACGTTCATGCTTGTGTTTGTAAGCATGCAAGTGTTCAAGCATGTGAAAGTGGGTGTGTTGGTGTAATAGGTTTAAGTGTGGCACCAGCAACCCTCAACAGCTGGAACACAGGAGGAAGTCCAAATTAATGTTCCTGGAAAAGGCAACAGTGATTTTTGGACTTCAAAACTGGTGGTGGGGGAATGGGATTCAGCAGGGTGGAATAAATAACAAGTGAAAATATCAGCTTTATAATTTGACAATAAGTAGATCAAGCAAAAGGCTGCAAACTTAGAAATAAAATTAATGGGCAGTGGGGAAAACAGGAATTCTTTTGACAAATGTAAAAGGCAAAACTATAAAAGGTCTGATTCTAAAAATAATCTAAATTGCACAAAGCAAAATCTTTAAGAAATAAAATATCTAAGTGATTGGCAGTAGCCACGTCAGAATTACCTTGAAAGTAAATATGTCTTTATAGCACTGATGATAACTGAGGAATCATTGATTTGCTGGAAATAAAAGAAAATTAAATCAGTTAAAAGCTACTTATCTTTCATTTAAATTTATCATCAAATCCTACATCTTTACTTCAGTGCATTCGTTTCATTTACTTCTCAAAAAAATGCTCAAATTGACCAGAAATTCAACAAAGAGAGGTGGGGAAATCAGGTGAAGAGGAAGTGACGATGGGGGGAGAAAAGAGACAGGAAGAATAGGGTGGCAGAAGGAGGGATGGGGAAGAGAGTGAGAGAAACACATTGATAATACAAAACCATACCTTGCAAACATCCAAGAATGTTCTTAAATTTCAGCGTATTTACTTCACTTAAGATGGTGGATGTGGCAGCTTTTTGTATGAAGCAAGGTTCCATACTGACCTCACTGACTTACTGTTGGGAATGACTCGGAAAAATATGCTACACTAAGAGTTTCACATGATCTTAAATGACACTTGAACCATGGCAGTAGCTGATGGTTTAAAATTCTAAGTGGGAAGTCAGCACCTGGCGCAATACAGCACTCCATCTTTACTGCACTCAAGTGTCATCCAAAATTATATGGCTTTAGCCATCATCCTGAAAGGAATCAAATGGACTTCCACAACCTGAAGTCGCCATCTAACTTTTTTGCAAAACTTTAACTTCCCAGTTGGTGTCACTAATGTGAAAATTGGAAACACTTCCCAACATATGTCACTAACATGGAAATAAAAAAAATAAAATTTTATAGTGGCAAAAGGATCAGGGAGAGGATAACTTTTTATTTACACAACGTGCTGTCATGATCTGGAATGCACTTGTCTGAATGGCTGGCAGAAGCAAATTCAAGAGTAACTTTCAAAAGGAAACTGAATACGTCGTTCAAAAAGAACAATATGCAGTGTATGGGGAAGAAGCAGGGGAATGCGACCAGTTGGATATAAAATGATAGCTGAATGAACAGACATGATGGCTGAATGGCCTCCTCAGATCTTTATATTTCTATGAAATGAAGTTCAGTTGAGCAGCTGTACGTGGATATTGTTAACATAGCCATCAGATATGGTGGCGTAACAGCTTAAGTATGAGATACATAACTCAAAAGCTGTGAATATTAGCACAGACAGATTTGCATTTTTGTAGCAGCACTCACAACCTCAGGATGTCCCCAAAACACTTTGCAAGCGATGAGGTACTTTTGAAGCATTATCACCATTGTAATGTAGGAAACACAGCAAGATTCCACAATAAAAATGAGTTAAAGATTGGCTATTTTCTTTCAGGCATGTTGATTAAAGGATAAATATTGAAGCTGGACTCTAGAAAAACCTCTCCTCGGTCTTCTTCAAATAGTATCTTGAGATCTTTTAACGGCTGCACCCGAGAGGGCAGACAGTGCCTTTTATTAAACAGCTCATCTAAAAGATACCAACTCAGATGACACAGGTCTCACTAAACTGTAACAGCAGAATCACTTTAGATTGTTGTACTCAAATCTACGATGTGGAACTTGAATTCTCAATCTTCTAACTCAGAAGCGAGAGGGCTACCCTCTGTGCAGACTGTGAATAGTTCGCAAACTGAATTCAGATCGTCACTAAGACCAAAGCTGCAATATTGTTTTAAAGGCAAATCAAATTACCTGCCATCCCCATCAAGTCCTGGCCTACATGTTCCTCTTGTCTCAACGATAATGAATAGCACTCACTGGAAAAGACCCCCACTTCCCAACAATTGATGGCAGACCATTGCATCCAAAAAAATGAAAACATATCATTGAATATTAATTCATGCTGTGACAATACTATGGCTTTAAGAGGTGTATTTTGTCCTGGTTTTTTTTTAAATAAAGAAAGATTGAGACAGATGTGTCTAGTAGTCTTCTCCAAAGCCAATAAAGTAAACAGCCTGTGAGGCCTTGATTTTTTTTTAACGAAGTTGGAACAATAGAAACAGTCTGGATGGGTGGTGGTCAAGTTCCCACAGAACTAAGGTTTTTTTGTTTTAGCCTTCAGTAGCAGTTGCTGGGGTCTTGAAGCCGAATATGGAAGCTCTTATTCCTCTCTCTGTTACAGCTAAAAGTTGGGGTTCTCTTCCTGTTGCAAGAATTTTATGTGAGACAATTTTATTGAATTTGTCTTTGCTAAGGGCGTGTTTATGGATGTTTCTATATCGGAACAGCTAATTAGTAGTAGTTTATAATATATATATTATTTTGTTTAGCATCTTGAAAGAGTTTCAGCTAAACCAATTCTTTTTATTTTGTCTGCATTTTAATTATAGTGCATGAATAAAATGTGTTTTGTTTCCAACCTGGTAGTTTGACCAAAGTGCATTCAGAACACAACATCTTACACTTACCTTTAGAATAAGAAAAAGTCAGGGTCTCAACTATCTTCTTAATAAATTTTCGGGGGGTTTGGTCTGGTCCATAACAATGCTCTAAATTTATTTTTGTGCAAACTCACCACTTTCTCTCCATCATCCCCGATCAAAATCGGAACCTTTCGGTAGTTGGAAAATTTGATCTCCTTGCGCAAGACCGGGTTGACTTCTACAATCTCATAGGGCAGCGAGTGGAAATCAAGGAACGCTCGGACTTTGCTGCAGAATGGACAAGTCTTATACTGGTACAATGTGAGTGAGAGGCCAGCACTGGGTGCCTGCTGCAAACAAACACACAGAGAAAAAGGGTTTCAGTCACAGCAGGAAAGCTGAACCTCATCATCACCCCTAACCCAACCAACCATCTTTAAACAATATCACTAATACTGAGGATACAGTTACCACCCCAATGCTGATTGTGGGAGCTTATCTGGGCAAACTGATGACCAGGTATCTCATAATACAGCTGTGATGACACTTCATGTTATGAATGGTACTGCATAAAACCAGGTATAACTTTCTTTTAGAATTCCAGTTGAGTGAACCCTCCCATTCCTGCTTTTTTAAGGATTGGCCCAAGCAGCACGATATTTATTTAGGAGTGTGCCTGAACTTATCTGACCAGGGTGAAACATAGAAAAGGGCACAGAAATAGGCCATTTGGCCCTTTGAGCCTGCTCCATCATTCACCATGATCGTGATCATGACCGATCATTCAACTCAATAGCCTGTTTCCACTCCTCTCCTCCCCTCCCCCCCCCTCAATATCCTTTGATCCCTTTAGCCCCCTAATGCTATATCCAACTCCTTCTTGAAAACATTCAATGTTTTGGCCTTGACTGCTTTCTGTAGCAACAAATTCCATAAGCTCACCACTCTCTGGGTGAAGACATTTCTCCTCATTTCAGTCCTAAATGGCCTACCCTGTGTCCTTAGGCTCTGGACTCAGCTGTCATCAGGAGCATCCTTCTTGCATTTACTCAGTCTACTCCTGTTAGAATTTTATAGCTTTCTCTGTGATTCTCCCTCATTTTTCTGAACTCCAACAAATATAATCCTAACTGATTCAAACTCACCTCCTACAACAGTCCCATTATCTCAGGAATCAGTCTGGTAAACCTTTGCTGCATTCCCTCAAAAACAAGAGCATCCTTCCTCAGATAAGGAGACAAAAATTACGCACAATATTCCATGTGTGGTCTCACCAAGGCCCTGTACAATTTTAGCAAGATATGCCTGCTCCTGTATTCAAATCCCCTCAGGATGGGGGCCAACACACCATTTGTCTTCTTTACCACCCACCATGTCAATACGCTTACTTTCAGTGATTGATGTATGAGGACACCCAGGTCGCACTGCACATTTCCCTCTCTCAATTTATAGCCATTTAGATAATTTTTTTAGAAAATTCATTTGTGGGATGTGGGCATCGCTGGCCGGCCAGCATTTCTTGCCCATCCCAAGTTGCACCCTTGAGAAGGTGGTGGTGAGCTGCTTTCTTGAACCACTGCAGTCCACCTGCTGTAGGTTGACCCACAATGCCATTAGGCAGGGAATTCCAGGATTTTGGTCCAATGACACTGAAGGAACAGTGATATATTTCCAAGTCAGGATGTTGAGTGGCTTGGAGGGGAACTTGCATGGGGTAGTGTTCCCATGCATCCACTGCCCTTGTCCTTGTCCTTCTCGATGGAAGTGGTCATGAGTTTGGAAGGTGGTGTCCAAAGATCTTTGGTGAATTTCTGCAGCATATCTTGTAGATGGCACACACTGCTGCCACTGAGCGTCGGTGGTGGAAGAAGTCAATGTTTGTGGATGGTACCAATCAAGCCGGCTGCTTATAATAGTCTGCCTTATGTTTTTGCTCCCAAAGTGGATAACCTCACATTATAGGTGCACTGAACTGGGTTGAAGGAGAGAAGGAGAAAGGACTGCCATTTATATAGGATATGCACATGTATGTGAAAAGTGCTTTTCATGGTCTCAGGGTGTTTCAGCCAATTAAACACTTCCTAGGGCACCACTTTAAAGTGTAGCTACATGGCAGACAATTTGAACACAGCAAGATCTCATAAACTGTGACATGATCATAACTAGATCATCTATTTTTGGGTGTTGTTTGAAGGATAAATATGAGCCAGATTGCCAGCGAGAACTCCCCTGCTTTTCTTCCAAATAGCACCCATAGAATCTTTTACATCCAAGTGACAGTGAGACGAGGTTCTGGTTTAATATGTCAGTCATTGAACCAGTGCAGCATTGTCTTAATATGGTCCATTTGAATTAGCTGCACAGGTCTTGGGCCCACAGCCTTCTGATTCACAGGCGAGAACGTAACAGACACAAGTCTGTGGTTACACCGTTGACACTGACCACCTCCCAAATTTCACACTACTCAGTTTCAGCGTGCTTAAGAATCTGATTAGGTCAATCCCTCACGTTATGCCATCACTTTTTACGTTGACATACCTAAAATTCTGTTACACTGAAGTAGCATCTCAAACACATCACTGAGTGATCACAGAATCATAGCTCATCAGCACAGATGCAGGTCATTCAGAGCATTGCTCCTGATCAGTGTCATTTTCCTGCTCCCACTCTCATGCTTCCTTCTAACTCTTTCAACATTGCTCTGTTTCAAGCAACCGACCAAATGTCTTTTAGCTTGAGGACCGACAGAGTGTAACATAGGCAAATTTCCTTGGAGAACAAAATAATGGAACATAGAACATAACAGCGCAGTACAGGCCCTTCAGCCCTCGATGTTGCGCCAACCTGTGAAACCAATCTGAAGCCCATCTAGCCTACACTATTCCATTATCATCCATATGTTTATCCAATGACCATTTAAATGCCCTTAAAGTTGGCGAGTCTACTACTGTTGCAGGCAGGGCATTCCACGCCCTTACTACTCTGAGTAAAGAACGTACCTCTGACATCTGTCCTATATCTATCACCCCTCAATTTAAAGCTATGTCCCCTCGTGCTAGCCATCACCATCCGAGGAAAAAGGCTCCCACTGTCCACCCTATCTAATCCTCTGATCATCTTGTATGTCTCTATCAAGTCACCTCTTAACCTTCTTCTCTCTAACGAAAACAGCCTCAAAACCCTCAGCCTTTCCTCATAAGACCTTCCCTCCATACCAGGCAACATCCTGGTAAATCTCCTCTGCACCCTTTCCAATGCTTCCACATCCTTCCTATAATGCGGCGACCAGAACTGTACGCAATACTCCAAGTGCGGCTGCACCAGAGTTTTGTACAGCTGCAACATGACCTCATGGCTCCGAAACTCAATCCCTCTACCAATAAAACCTAACACACCATACGCCTTCTTAACAACCCTATCAACCTGGGTGGCAACTTTTTAATAGATTGGGAAGATGAAGCAGATGTAGACCTGCAGGGTAATGCTCAAGTTACAAGAGTTAAATTGGGAAGGAAAATTGTGTTGAACAAGCCGGTTTCCTTTTGAAGCACAGAAGATTAAAATGGCAAATAATTTTTGAAATTTACAGCACAGAGGGCAGCTACTTGTACATGATCTAAATACAAGGAGTTAGATGATTGATCAGGTTGGTAGGTTGTGAAGAGAGAGAAAACCTTATTTCCTCTCGGGAGATATAATCTCAAAACTACAGCCATGACAACTGACACAATGTCAGGAAGGAGTCCTTCACACAGAGGGTTGTGGAAATCTGGAACGCTCTTCCTTCCAAAAAATACTTCAGGCTGAGGTCAATTGGAGTTTTCAAAACAGACATTGACCATAAGATGCAGGAGCAGAAGTAGGCCATTCAGCCCATCAAGCCTACTCTGCCATTCAATGAGATCATGGCTGATCTCATAACCCTTAACTCAACTTTTCCACCTTTTAGAGATTAAAACTCTAAGCATCTTCAGGGCTGAGGCAGACAATGATGCAGCCTTTACACCTGTCCGTGGTAAAGAATTACACAGCTTCACTACCCTCTAAGAGAGGAGATTCTTCCTCATCTCTGTCTTAAATGGATGACTGATTCTTCTGAGGTTATGCCCTCTGGTCAGAGACTAGGTTGTTTTCCCTTTCTGCATCCACCCGGGCAAATCCCTTGAGAATCTCAATAAAGTCGTCTCTCACTCTTTGAAACTCCTGGGATCAGCTTAATGAATCTTTTCTATACGGCCCGCCAGCCTATCTTTCCTCCCTATTTTGATACTCAGTTCTCTTTGAAATAAAGGCCAGCATTCTATTTGTCTTCTGTTCCCTGCTGAACCTGTATGCTAGCATTTTGAGAGATTTGTGTAGGAGGATTCACAAATACCTGTGCTGTAGCTTTCCGCAAGTCTTTCTCCATTTAAATAACATTTAGCTCCTTTATTCTTCCTGGCAAAGTGCATAACCTCACATTTTCCCATATTATATTCCACCTGCCAAATTTTTGTCCACTTGCTTAACCTGCTTAGATCCTTCTGCAGACTTTGGTTTATCATCACCACTTGCTTCACACACATTTTTGTGACATCCATAAACTTGGCAATAATACATTCGTTCTCTTCATTCAAGTTATTAATATATACTGTCAATAACTGTGGCCCCAGCACCGATCCCTGTGATATTCCACTAGTTAGAAGTTGCCATCCTGAAAATGCCCCCGCTATCCCAACTCTGTCTTTTATCAGATGGCCAATTCTCTATCTCTGGCAATTTCCTACCTCCAACACCCATAGGTTCCTATCTTATTAAGTAGCCTAATGTGTCGGGCCTTATAAAACCCCTCTGAAAATTCAAATATTATCCATCTGGTGCTTCCTGTCCTGCTTATTAAATCTTCAAAAAAAAAAATTCTACTAAACTTGTCAGGTATGCTTTCCTCTTCATGAAGCCATGTGGACTCTGATCATATTACACATTTCTAAATGCTCTGCTATTATATCCTTTATAATAAGCCTTTAATATGTTTCCAATACGATGTTAAGCTAATTGGCCTATTGTTATGGTTTTTCTGGCTCTTTCCCTTTTCAAATAAAGCCACTACATTGACGGGGTTTTCCAATCCCCTTGACATTTCCAGGATCTAAGGATTCTTGGAAGTTTACAACTAGTCCACTATCATTGTATCATTTTAATATCCTGATTTGATTTATTGTAGTCACACGTACCTAAGTACAGTGAAAAGTTTTGTTTTGCATGCAGTACAGGCAAATAATAGGGTGTTCAGACAGAGTGAGGCATACAAGGTTACAGCTGCACTGGAGGTGCACAAAAGAAAGATCAACATTAGAACTGAAATTAGAGGGGTCCATTCAGCAATTTAATAACAGCAGAGAAGGAGCTTTTCTTGAACCTGTTGGCGTGTGTGTGTGCCTGTGTCTGTAAGCTTCTGCCTAATGGGAGAGAGTATTACTGGGGTTGGAGGGGGCTTTGATGATGTTGGCAGACTTTCTGCAGCAACAAGAAGTGTAGATGGAATCCATGGATGAGAAGTTGGAATTTGTGATGGTCTGGGCTGTGTACACAACTTTCTGTAGTTTCTTACAGTCCTGAGCAGAGCAGTTGCTGTACCAGGCCATTATACACCCAGCTAGAATGTTTTCTATAGTGCACCTCTAAAAGTTGGTGAGGGTCTTTATGGACATACCAAATTTCCTAAGTCGCCTGAGGAAGAAGAGGCATTGTTATGCCTTCTTGACCATCGCATCTACGTAGGAGGTTCAGGACGGATTGTTGGTGGATTGTCGGTGGATTGTCACTCCTAGGAACCTGACGCTCTCAACCCTCTCCACCTCAGCTCCATTGATGTAGATAGGAGCTTGTCCTCCTCCTTACTTTCTGAAGTCAATGATCACTCGGCTACATCCTATGGGTTCTGCATACTTATAGGTCTTCTCTCTTGGAAAAGTTGTTGTATTTGTTTCTTATCTCCCTTGATGATTTATTAATGTTGCCATGATTCATAATTTTTGTTCAGCAATAGATAAAAAGGTTGTAGTTTCTTGGTGAGTAGATGGAGTTAAGATCCAGATCAGCCATGATCTAATTGAATGGTGGAATAGGCTGAAAGGATTTCTCCTATTCCTACATTCATGGCACGGTGGCACAGTGGTTACCCGGGTTCGATTCCAGCCTCGGGCAACTGTCTGCATGGAGTTTGCACATTCTCCCTGTGTCTGCGTGGGTTTCCTCTGGGTGCTCCAGTTTCCTCCCACAGTCCAAAGATGTGCAGGTTAGGTGGATTGGCCTTGCTAAATTGCCCATAGTGTTCAGGGAGGTGTAGATTAGGTGGGATGCCCTGAGGTTCGGTGTGGACTTGTTGGGCCGAAGGGCCTGTTTCCACACTGTAGGAATTCTATGATTCTATGATACATCCGCTGGGCTACACCACACTGCAGTGTTGAAAATTCACACCACAATATAAAAAGACTTGGGTTTGTTCAGCACTTAGCACACAATGGATAACCTTGAATTTGAAGGACTGCATTGCAGGCAAACATAATGTCTTGTTAACACATTATTTACATTACCATCTAAACACAAACAATAAAACTTAAGGTAAAGCCTTTGTTTTTGGAATCAAAACAGCACATGACACTGTAAATTTCAAAACTTTAATAACTTCACCGATTGAAAGAATCAGCAATAACTCTTTCTGGAATAAACTGTTGGGAATGGGACACGGAATTTAAAAAAAACTATGCCAATTAGCCAGCCCTGGGAAAAGAAAATGATGAAGCTACATAAACAAACTATTTTAAAATCTGATAACTTGCTGCCTTGTCACAAATGAGCAATTAATATTGCCTACAGAAGAATTTAAGAAGTTAATAGCAGGACAGAATGCATTTCAAACAGACAGTGAATATAACAAAGAACACAGAAGCTACTCCTGATAAAAAAGGAGGCTACAGACTTGGTGACTTCAAAAGTGTCACAAATAAAGTCACCATGAGCTTAAGACAGCAGGAAATCCTATAAGAATTCAACTTTGGGATTCTTTGGCAGCAAAATTCTAGAGAACCTGGGAGTAAATATCACCAATCTGTTCTGGTCCATCCACATTGACTCTACAGTCAAGAAAGCACACCAAAGCCTCTATTTCCTCAGAAGGCTAGGGAAATTCAGCATGTCCACAATGATTTACTAATTTTTATAGGTGCACCACAGGAAGCATCCTGGTCTGGATGCATCACAACTTGGTATGACAACTGCCCTAGCCAAGACCATAAGAAACTGCAGAGAGTTGTGAACTCAGCCCAGTCCATCATGAAAACCAGCCTTCCTTCCACTGACTCCACATACACTTCCGCTGCCTTGGGAAAGCAGCCAACATAATCAAAGACCCCTCCCATCCCAGTTATCCTCTCTTCCATCAGAAACACCTACCAACAGATTCAAGAACAGCTACTTCCCGCTGTTGTCAGACTTATGAACTGACCTCTCATACAATTAGAGTTAATCTTTCTTTGCACCTTCTCTGTAGCTGTAACACTATATTCTGCCTTCTGTTGTATTACCCTGTTGTACTTCTTTGTCTTGATAGCACGCAAAACTATACTTTTCATGCATCTCTATACAAATGACGACAATAATAAAATCAAATCAAATCAAATCAACCTAAACTGCACAAGGACTGAACTCTAGACATATGCAGAGAAAGACACTGTTGGTTGGAATTGTAGCTAAATTCCACCATGATTTGGGTATTGGCTATGTTGGGTTATGAGGCTTAATTTGCTTACTTGAAGGGTCTTATTTTGGTTGGTACATGCAACAAAGCTTAATTGTTTCAGTATTTGATTGAGAGATTTCATAATACATACCCAAATTAAAGGCAGCTTATGGCAGTTTACAGGCAACAAGAGGAAGAATGTTAACATCTTCAAGGGGGCTTCCAATGTGAACAAGCTTAAAATCTACCATTATACATGAAACTGAAAATTATATTATAGCACCAACAACTGCATATTTTTAACTTTAAAAAAAATCTGAATTTTCTTTCAGCTTCATTTGTCAACATTAACGGTTCCCTAGCATTTAATACAAACAGAAGTTGCTGGAAAAGCTCAGCAGGTCTGGCACTATCTGTGGAGAGAAATCAGAGTTCATGTGACCTTTCCTCAGAACCGGACCAGAGTCAGCTAACTCTGATTTCTCTTCATAGACGCTGCCAGACCTGCTGAGCTTTTCCAACAACTTCCGTTTTTGTTTCTGATTTACAGCTTCCGCAGTTCTTTCGGTTTTGCCCAGCATTTAGGCAGGAAAGTACTGCACTTCTGACGGAAACTGCATTTAAAGCACGCATTTTTAAAGCCAATTAATAAAATCCAACTGGTTGCAAAGCATGCTACAAGAGAATGCACTGTGTTTAATTAATGCTATGCAACAAAATCGATGCTCATTTTCCCTCCAAACCCCTCCCCAAAAAACGTAAGGATTCAGTCTAACTGGTGAGCAGTACAAACCTTCCTATCTAGCTGTAAATAAGTTACTGGCAGCCCCTGAACTACTCTTTTTGTGCTATTAACTCGCATTTACCTTCGGGTATTGCTGCTCAGCACGATGCAGCTCTTGCTGCAGGTAGTACCTGACAGTGTGGTACAACCCTAAGGTCCCACCCAGCACAAATGCAACACTCAGGGCAGTTTTACCAACTTTCAGACCTCCTGGTAACTTCTCCTGCAAACCTCTGCCTTGCCCGTAGAACCTGGTACCAGGCTGTAGTGCAAGGGCTTGCCCATTGCAAGCCTTACTGTAAGCCACAAACCGAGCACAAACTCTCCTTGCTCTGACATAGAAAGCTGCCATATCTACCTTACACAACCAGATTTCCTCCAGATCTTCTTAAAGTTGTACTCCACTGAATTACAACAGATATTCCCACCCCGGCTTTCAATTACAGCCTTCCTATTTTCAACTAAAGAGGTAGTTGTTCATCTTACACATTATTATTCGAGACAAATAATAAATTAATGATGAACTTAATTTTGGTTGTACGACATAAATTATTGGCTCACCCGTAATCCCTTTTCAGGTCTACACGTAAGATAACAAGGTGTAGAGCTGGATGAACACAGCAAGGCCAAGCAGCATCAGAGGTGCAGGAAGGCTGACGTTTCGGGTCTGGACCCTTCTTCAGAAATCAAGAAGGGTCAGCTTTTCTGCTCCTCTGATGCTGCCTGGCCTGTTGTGTTCATCCAGCTCTGCACCTTGTTATCTCAGATTCTCCAGCATCTGCAGTTCCCACTATCTCAGATCTAAATGTGTTCTCCAAACAACCCAATCTAACATTTGCGTCTTCTAATCTACTAGTATCATCACCTCAAAAGAGCTAAGTACCACCTTCTTATGAGAGACACAATGAATAAAGGCCAAAGCAGGCAAATAAAAGAAAACTTGATGAATTAAATCAAAACTTTGTTAGCATTTGTCACCTTACAATAAAGGTCACATTCAAGCAGCTTAGTGAACATGCAAAATGGGAAAATGGGGAAATCACACAGCCTGCTCTGCCACTTGATTAGATCTTTTACCTCAATTCTACTGCCCCACTTTATCCCCAAATCCCTTGATGACCAGACAGCAATGATTTTCAAACTTATTTCAGGTCAATGGGCATTTTGTTCAAATGACATATTAGTTATAGATCATTATCTACGAGATATTACTATTTTTAAAAATTAATTCTTTGTGATGTGGGCATCACTGGCTAGACCAAGTATTAAATGGCCGTTCCTAGCTGCCTTCTTGAGCTGCCCAAATCCTTCTGCTGTAGGTAGACCTTCAATGCCCTTAGGGAGGGAATTCTAGGATTTTGCCCCAGTGACACTGAAGGAACGGCAATATATTTCCAAGTCAGGATGGTGAGCAGCAAGTTCTTAAGGAAGGTCCCTGGACTTGAAACATTAACTCTGCTTTCTGTCCACAGATACTGTCAGACCTGCTGAGTTTCTTCAGAAACTTCTGTTTTTGTTTCAAGTTCTGAATCCTGATTACTAACTTGGATCTTTAAATCTTCGCGCATGTGATGGGGCTTAACAATGACAGCAACTTTGAGAGACAGGTGGCCAGTATTTTCTTTGGCAATTGAGATTGAGCAATTGATATATAATAAAGCATATAAACCCAGATCAGGCCATGATGGCCCACTCATGACAGAGAGTTATATAATCAAGCACCACACCACAGAGATTTGAATTCAAAATCCAAACCAAAACTCTTAGTAAAGTACTGTGGGAGGTGCATTGGAGACACGGTACTGTCTTTGAGGTGGGATCTTAAACCAAGGCACAATCAGATAGCCATAAAAGATTCCACGCCACTATTTTGATGAACAGTGAAGAAGTTACAACAGTGATTATGGATGATAGTATAAGGTAGGGTTGGAGGTTAGATAGACCTTAGGTTTAGGGTAAAAGTTCGGCACAACATCGTGGGCCTGTACTGTGCTGTACTGTTTTATGTTCTATGATTAGTTATTAAATAGATGCTTGTTTGAAGATGCTGTGGAATACACTGACGTCATGAAAGATACAATATAAATGCAAGGATATTTTATATCATCTCAAAAACTGTAGCAGTTCTAATTCGTTACCTATTGTTCCACTTTACTCCGTTTTCATGTTTTTTTTCTGGAAATCAATTTAAGGTTATGATTTACCCCTTTAACTGAGTATCAATCTGTCCAAACGGGCCCCATAATGGATGGCTTCTTCTGTGCCTGTCATCATTTTATTTTAAAGAAAAAGGATTCAAGTTATACTTAGAATTGAAAAAAAAAAATTTTTGTCCTATTTTATCAGGGGTGTTATAATGGGGAGAGGTGGAGAAGATTGTTTATAGGCATTTCCGGGACACGCGCTATTGGGGCCTTGAACAGCTGAGAGTTTGTTACATTTTGAGGTCAGGGGTGACGTTTTTAAGAGACGCGGGGCGAACCTTGGGGCAGCGGCGTCTGCCCCTGATTCCGATCTCAGCTTCTCCAACATGTCGGGGCCGAACGGGGAACCGAGTGTCACTGTGGGGCAGGAGGAGGAGGAGGTTGAGGCGTCTGAGGAAGGTAAACCCCAGGACAGGGATCCGACCGGACCCCCCCACCCCCAAATAAATCCCATTCACTAGATCCAGCTCCCTACGCATCCCCCTCATCCTCCTCAAAACCCTTCGATAGGACCCCCACTAGACACCTTCATGAAGGCCCTGAGATGGGTTTGGGGGTGACCTTATAAAAATCATGAGGGGCCTGGATAGGGTGAATTGTCAAGGTCCCAAGGCTATGGGAGTCCAAAACTAAAGAGCATAGGTTTAAGGCGAGAGGAGAAAGATTTAAAAGGGAACAAAGGGGTGACTTTTCACGCAGAGGATGGTGCATGTATGGAATGAGCTGCCAGAGGAAGTGGTGGAGGCTGGTACAATTACATTTAAAAGGCATCTGGATGGGTATATGAATGGGAAGGGTTTAGAGGGATTTGGGCCAAATGGGATGAGATTTATCTAGGATATCTGTCGGTATGAACAAGTTGGACTGAAAGGTCTGGTTGGTTGGTTTTTTTTTCTGTACATCTCTATGTCACTTGCAGAATTCAGCCTTCACTTTACTTATCCACCTAGGGTGTGCTGTATTGTCGGAGGTGAAATCTTTCAGATGAAAATGTTATCTGACTGAGATCCAGTCAATGATGAAGAGTAGAGCAATAATCCCCAATATCCTGGTGAATATTTAAACTCTCCATTAACATCAAGTTGCTGCATGTGTGATCTCACTGCATTCAAATTGTGTGAAGTGTTTCTTGCATTTAAACAGTGACCACACCTGAAAACTACTTAATTTGGTTTAAAGTGCCATAGGATGTCCAAAGATTGTGAATGCAAGTTATTGTGTTGACATTGACACTGGTGGCAGTCCTTAGTGCATTGCTTCCCAGACTTTTTCCCTGAGTGACAGCAGAGTAGGGTGCTGCTGTGGATTTGTGAGAGCACGAGCCTGTCGAAGCTGGAGCAAAGCTGCTATAATTTAGTCAGAGTTCTGCAATGATCACTGCTGCTTCTAAGCTTGTGAGCCATTTGGAGTCCCAACCCCCTCTTTGTGAAATCCTGCATCAGGCTAATATAGGTATCTCTTAGTTTCGAGCAAATATATTTGCTAGATCAAGTAGCTCTAAGCCCAGCTGTTTTAATACCTTGGGAGGTGAAAAATATACAAATAAAAATCTTATGTAGAGAAAGGCAGAGCATAAATGTGTGTTCCTTTTTGTTTTGTAACTAGTTCTACTGACAGTGAAATATTGTATTCTTCACCTCACTCCCACCCTCTTTTGGCAGAATACGCTGCACTCAATTTGATGCTTGACCAGATCAACTCTTGCCTGGACAACCTTGAGGAGAAAAATGATGTTTTAAATGCAAAACTTCGAGAATTGCTGGAGTCAAATCGCCAGGTGAGGATGGAATTCAGGCAACAAGTACAGGCAACAGCCCCAAAAGACTCCCAGGACCACAACTCTCAAATTTGATCACCGTCTCTGTATCAAGCTGTAATATTACATGTCCTGCTTAAGCATTTTAAAAGCAAATGTTAATTAGCTGTAACCATTGCTAGTCACTTTACTTTCCTGTGACAGAAACACTGGCTAGTTTTAATCATTGAGTTGCAGTTCTACCTGTGATAACTTTGTTTACTTTTGACCTCTTCCAGTCGGTTTTGGCTTTGAAATTCCTGTTCCTTTTAGGAGGAAGCTCATTTGTAACAGATGCCATGTTGTGTATCTTCCACTTATGAGTTGCAATATTGCAATAAGAAATTCTATTTCAGTGGGATTCAAAGATCTAAAAAAGTTGAATGTTTGACCTGATGGGATACCTGAAGTTCATCTGACTAGTCCTAGTGATTTGGAGAAGGTCAAACCCCAGGATCCTGCCTCCACTGAAAAAGATTTTTTTTCTCTGTAAGTAGCGGTTCAAAGAGTAACACTCTCTTTCATCTTGAATCACAAGGTTGTAGGTTCAAGTTCCAGACCGGAAATGTGAACACAACAGAGACTGATGTTTCAATGTAATACTTAAGAAGTTCTGCACTGACAGAGGTGCTGTCTCTCTTAAGTTTTAAGCTGCGGCCCTGCCTTCTCAGGTGGATGGAAATTTCAGAGTAGGAGAGTTTTTCCTTGTAGGCCAACTAATATTTATTCCTTAATCAGCTTCAGTTTGTCATTTACCACATTGTTGTTTGTAGGAGTTTGCTGTGTGAAAATTAGTGCTCTATTACCCACATACAACACCAGTGACGATATGTCAAATGTGTGTCACTGGCAGTAAGGCAGTTTGGGGCATCCAATGATCATGAAAAGGGCTGTATAAACGCAAATCTTTTCTTTAATGCAACTTTCTCTTGAATTTGCAAATTGAAGTGAATTTTTTTAAAAAAATGTGAAAACCTCTGCCAACCATTCCCCGTCTTCTGTGTTTTTAAAAAAAAGAACCTAAACTATTTTTTTCATCTTGCTTTCCATGTAAGGTCTTTTCCCTTATATAAACTTGCATATATTAAACTTATAAAATGAGGATTAATAAATCAAATAATTTGTTAACTACTGCCACAAAAATTACCCGAGTCATCAACTTTTTCTTCATGTACACATTCCTAGATTCTGTGTGTTTTTTTTTTCCCCCTTATTCAGGTGCTCAGTACAAGAGAGAAATTTGGTGATCAGAACTGTGCCTGGTATTCTAATGAGGGCCAAACTTGTGCTCAATCCTTCCGATTTATGCTCTCTTTCTGTTAATAGTTTTCTCTTTTTACTGAATGTTCCTGTAACCTGTTGTTAGAGCTATTTCTCAATGGGACTATTGTGCAATATACTGTAATTTCTGTACTGAAAAATCCATCAAATCCTCAGTAACAATGAAAAAATGGTTTTCAGGGAAAAAAGTGCTTCTATAACAAGTCATTCTGAATTTAAGGATATCTTGCAAAATGCATTTGTTGTTTTCAACTCAGTTGGCGCATATGTCAACCCTGAAGCCTCCAAAAATTGTTCCAAAAACTGGGGTCAATGTATATGTCAAGTATAAAACATGAACTGCCAGTATGGGTGGTCTCTACATTGAAACATGAAAACATAGCACTGGTAATTCATATTAATGTAAAATAGTTTATTCAATAAATTAATTGTACAAAACCTTTAACTACAATGAAAATGTTTTAAAACTCATCAAATTCATTGACTATGGCATCCCATACAAAATTTTAAGTTCACCTTCACTCAGAGTCATTTTTCCTATGATGTCAGTGTAAGGATCAGATATAGCACTTTTGGTTTCAGAATCATTCCATCACAATAAACCATCTTTTTATGCAACCAATGAACTAACATGCCACATTTTTTGAATGACCTGATCATAGTTTTGCACCATTAGGGTCCTGTGAATTGATGACAAAACCACACAAGGTATCACAAAAAGTGCTGGAAAAGCACAGCAGATCTGGCAGTATCTGTGCAGAGAAATCAGAGTTAACGTTTCAAGTCTGGTTTCCTCAGTTCTGAGGAAGGGGCACCAAACTCGAAACATTAACCCTCATTTCTCTTTGTAGATGCTGCCAGACCTGCTGAGCTTCTGTGTTTGTTTCTGATTTACAGCATCTGAAGTTCTTTTGATTTTCACGTGAAATATCAGTTGGAGGAGCACATATATTCCCACTCTTTGTGAAGTTTTTTCTTTTTTCCACTGTGTACCTGTTCTGATCTATGTGAACTTGATCCTTGAATTACTTTTAGAGGCATATATCCAAAAGTTGAATTATGGGTGTCAGGCTCTGACAACATAGGTGTGATTTTTACAGGGGTGCCTCTTAATCTCATTGATTGTAGGAACTGAACTTTCACAAACTAATAAACTGCATCATTTACCTAGACCACTGGAATGTCCATTTCACATTACTGATCCATAACTTTATCCCAACCTCATCCAGCCAACCCTTGTCATGGACATGCACATAAAGTACTGCAGGCAAGTTGATTTGTAGCGTATTTTTATGTTTGACATGGATTATAGGCTTAAATTTTGTTCCCTCGGTCTTGTAGGCTCTCACCACTAAAAATCTCGCCTCCAGTCCTGTAGTTTTCACTAAACTATTTTTAAACCTTTCAATATTTGGGCGTATCGAAATTCATGAGCATTTCATCCATATTACTTGTGGCATCGTGAGTACTTCAGTTTTTACCACTGTCTGATGAATTGCTGGAAACTGGTAATTTGGGCATTAAAATATTTTGCTAATTATATTGTAATCTTGATCTCCTGCCACAGTGATCTTTTTTTGCCCATCAAGTTGCAATGCCAACAATGTCTTGCTGTAAAATATTTACTGGACTCAAGATTTAATTTGGTCCACCTAAGTTTATTTACATACATTGCATTTCTGGTGACAATTTTCATTTTAATACATGCTTCTCAAGATTAGGCCAGTGGCTGGCCCCTGATTGCAATGGCATCCTTAGGGGCACATTCCTTCTTCCTGTCTGGCACTAGTTTTTCAGTGACACCAAATTCCCTTACTGCAGCATTTACATGTGTTAGCAAACATTAAGACTTTTCGCTCTGAGCATCATCTATTTTGTCAGAAAATTCATTTTCTTCGTTCACCATGCAGGGTCAGCTTTTGTGTAGGTGTCTTAAACTCCTGTGCATTGCAACATAGCTTGAATTGCCTGCACTATCCCTTGCATACAATTATAAGGTAAATAAAACATGCATTTGTGGGGTGAAAATAATTGAAGCCACTAATGCAAGTTTTTAAAAATTCTTTCATAGAATGTGAAAGTAGCTTCTATAACAGTTAATCATTTTCATTTCCTTACAGAATTGTGCAGCAATTTACCACTGTCTCTAACTGGGATTTTGATTACAGACAGGTTCACTGTGCTGCTACTGGAATTACTAATATTTTCTTAAAGGATGTAAAAGATGTTTTAAAAAATGATAATAAGATTGTTTGCTGCAGTGAAGGAACAATTGAAACAGTGCATGCTGTTATTTTGCGGCAGAACATTGTGAAAAGATCAGGAGCCAGCCTGAATACAACTGTCTATGTGCACAACATGTTTGAATGTTAATGTAATTTAGACTAACCTAGGGTTCCAGGTAATGTGCAGGTGCTGACTGATTAGTCCCTTTGTGTACACATTTCTCAGATTACTGTGTATGGAAGTATAAATATTTGATTCTGTTTTCATAAAGCTGTTGATTTAATATTATGCTTTTTGTAAATTCTCTTATTAAGCTTACCGATTGCAGAGGCTTTAGTTTTACTGTGTCGAGCAGATGGGGAGCTGACTCTACAGCAAATTAGAGAGCTGAAACACCATTTAGATATTTAATTGTAATAATGTGCAATCTTTCTGCAGTTATGTTTGAGCCCAGCTGACTTTGGAGAAGAAGCATGTAGTGTCCACCAATGCTCTCCGTGCATTTAGGGAGAGGTGGGCACTGCAGGGGTTTTACTGCCCCCTCCTACTCCATTTTAATTTAGTCCTCTCCTTCCCTCCCTACCCCTCTCCCTCACTTTTTAGATGATAGCATTCCCCTTAACAGGCCTTGCTTGTTAATGTGTCAATTGCCACATGGGTCCTTCCTGGTAGTGGAAAAAATGCATAATAAAGTCTTTGCACAGTGGTGTCTTTTTGCTGGAAAAGAAATAACGTGTAGTTTCTAACTGGCCATGACCAAAGGTGCAGGTACTTGCAGCTCAAATGGAAAGCAATGTACCTTCCTATTTTGTTAGATTTGAGATACAGAGCTCATAACCAATTCATGATGTTTCATTCCTCACTGTAATTTATAAGTTCTCCATTGTCAGCTGAAGTATCAGTGGCAAAAAGTCTTCTGAAGTTGTTTTCAAAATTATATAATATTGAAAATGTAAAGTATTTCATAGGTTGTTTCCACTGGTTGACAAAAAACTAATGGAATTAGGACAATCACTAGACTAACAAGGTGGGGGTTAACTGGGGCATGAATTTGCTTCCAGTACACCATGCATTGCACTCCCAATCAAAACTTGCTTCAGATATTTTTAAAATCAACCTGTTGCACAGGTGTTATGACAAACTTATGGAACAGATGGGACTTGAATTTGGGCCTCTTAGCTCTGAGGGGCACTACTGCCGTACCTTTAACACAACTTGCAATATAAACTGATTTCTCTTAATATCACCTGTGGAGTTTATGCTTCTTAAGATAAATTGACATTCATTTGCTGCACCTAGAAACTGCTAGCCAAAAGATGAGGTGGCGACTGAAAGTGAAACTAGGTGTTAACTTATAGCTTGAAGGTTGTGTTCTAAATGCAGATTTTTTTCCATTATTCGTTCATATAATGTGGGAGGCACTGGCTGAGCCAGCATTTATTTCTCCTCCCCAGTTACCCTTGAGAAGGTCATGGTGAGCTGCTTTTGCAAACCATTGAAGTCCATATACTGTAGGTAGACCTGCACTGTTAGGAATTTAATGATTTTTGACCCAATAGCACTTGAAGAAATAGCAACATATTGCTAAGTCAGAACGGTGAGTGATTTGGTGTTCCTCTATCTGCTGCTCTTGTCCTTTTAGATGGAAGTAGTCAGGAGTTAGGAAAGTGCTGCCTAAGGAGCTTTGGTGAAATTTTTGTCGTGCAATTTGTAGATGGTACACACTACTGCTACTGAACATCTGAGCATCTGTGTTGGAGGGTATGGATATGGTGCCAATCAAGCAGGCTGCTTTGTCCTGGATGGTGTCAAGCATCTCGAGTGTTGTTGGAGCTGTACTCATCCAGGCAGGGGCAGGGAGGGTGATATTCCATCACACTATTGCCTTCCAGATGGCAGACAGGCTTTGGAGCATCAGGAGGTGAGTGACTTGCTGCAGGATTCCTCGCCTCTGACCTGCACCTCCAGCCATTATATGGCTAGTTCAATTCAGTTTCTGGTCATTAGCAACCCTCAGGATGTTGATATTGGGGCATTCAGTGACGATAACACAATTGAATGTCAAGAGGTGATGGTTAGATTGTCTCTTACTGGAGAAGGTCATTACCTGGCAGTTGTGTGACATTAATGTTACTTGTCACTGGTCAACCCAAGCATGGGAACTGTACAGGTCTTGCTGCATTTGGGCACTGACTGCTTTAGTATCTGAAGAGCCCTGAATGGTGCTGAACATTGTGCACTCATCGGCAAACATGCCAATCTCCGATTGTATGAAGAAGGGGAGATCATTGACGAAGCAGCTGATGATGGTTGGGCCTAGGACACTACCCTGAGGAACTCCTGCAGAAATATATGACTCCCAACCAGCAGTGTACCCCCTGATTCTCACTGATTCCAGTTTTACCAGGGCTCCTTGATATCAAGGGTAGTCACTCTAACCTGAATAATTAAGTCACAAGAAATCTCAATCTACGGGTGGAGAAATGCAAAGAATTTCTAAAATGTCATTTATGTTTAGCAAGATACAATTTGCCATATATTTAAAAATTATTTCAACTAATATGTGACTGAAGTTTATTTTTGAAACCTCACTGCAGCCAATTCAACCACTAACTGAAAACAAACATGTTCTGAAATTACACTGAAAACAGTATTTTATTTAGAATAAGGAAAAACATTATTCACAAACAACATGAAATGACTTTAAAAAATTAATCAACAGTAAAAGGGACAACCATCTTCAAAAAACAGTAGCATTTAAATGCCCCATTACTCTAAATACACTGAACACTGTCCATCCAAAATATTCCTTTACTACAATCCCAATGTAGCGTTCTTAGGGGATTTGTAAGGAATTGAGCGCTAACTGCTGATGATACATTTATTGTGACATTTTACAGATCAGCTTGGTCAAGGATGCATAAAACAGGTGAAGAGTGTATTCGCACTTCACTGTCTACAGTGGTAGTACCTCTTCAACTTTATTGATAGTTATCACGAGTGGATCTCCATGGAAGAGGACCCCATCTTTTTACCTTTGTTTTAGTTCATCTCAGGGAGTTGTAAACGAGCACCTGGAGAACTGGATGGCTCATTTGAACAGATCTCCTTTACATGGCTCCTCGGTTTGAAATATTGGGACCATTTGGGAAGAAAGTTACACAGGAAAGACCCACACAAACACAAAGTGCTGCAGAAACTCAGCAGGTCTGGCAGCATCTGTGGAAGCGAGAAACTGAATTAACATCGAGTCTGGTCTGATTTCTTCAGAATCAAGTAAGTCATTTGGACTCAACATTATCTGTTTCTCACTCCACAGATGCTGTAAAACTCGACATGTTTCTCCAGCATTTTTCATTTTTGTTTCAGATTCCAGCATCCACAGTATTTTGCTTTCATTTGAAAAGATCCACGTTATTAATTCTGGGTTTTAGCTAAAGAGTATAAAGAATTCTGCTCTTTTTCTTCTTTGAAGTAGGAGCAACCTAACTTATACCCAGTGACAGGGCCTATGAACGTCACATCCATTCATAAGTGCTTATGACATTAGATTATGACTAATCTGAGGCAGTGATATGAAAGTCAAAAATAGCAGATGCTCACATGTCTATACTGGCTTTACAGACTGCTATTCAGAGTATTAAGGGAAATGCAGGGAACCATATAGTGTGATGAAACAAATACACTATTGCTTTCAACAGCTTTAATCCCTCCCAGCCAGTTGAAATAAAGATCTGCTGTCTGGTGGAGGAAAATGGCCCTTTCACAAAAGAGATTAGAGTTTGGGGATAGAGTAGCATTGTCTAGCGTGAACAATCCCGTGCAGAGTACGCTGTCAATTCTGAAACCCACATGGGTTTTTTTGGCATTATTTATGTCAAATCATACAAGTCAAATAGATTATAGTGATAATTATCCCCAAATCTTTTTACACAGCTATTATATTCTTCATTCTAATAGTGTTCTACTGCGCTGAAGGGTCCTGTATGAACTCTGACAGTGTACCCGGTAGCAGAATCTAATGTTCCAGATTCCAGGTCTGCCCTGACTCTATCGCAGAGGCCTCCAAATGCTCAGTCTTGGGGTACATTAAAGACCGGGGTTGATGGATTTTTAGATACTAAGAAATGTAGCAGGAAAGTCCAGTTAAGGTGGAAAATCTACCATGACCTTTTTGCATGATGGAACAGGCCAGATGTGTCTGCTCCTGATCCTGATTGTGGTTGATAACTTCGTTATTCCATGAAGAGCATCCTATGTATGCTTACTGGGTGCTGTGCAAATATCTGGGGCCATATGTAACTCTGATAGCCTGACCTGTAACAGGGTGTCTGTGTGTGTATATGTATGTATAAGAGGAACGTGGCAGTCTACACAAACTGTCTCATACTCCTGTAATCACCTCCTCCCTCAATCTCTATCATCAGTCAAAATGAAGTTTAATTGCCACTCTCATAGGGGTTACTTAGTTATAAAATTAAGTTGTGTTGTATCGTTAAAGAACTAATGAACTACTGCCAGGGATGTTTATGTTTCCTTTCCCAAGGGCAGTTTAAACTGGGACACAGGACCCTGGATTGGGGTGGCAGAGCAGCCAATGCTCAAGGACAGTCATGTAGGCCAAACCAAGCCCAAGAAAGAAGCAATTTCTTCATACTTTATGGTTCTGTTATTTCAAAACCATGAAATGAGTCTCTCTGAAGAGGAGGTTAACGGAGGCAGCATGGTTTCAAAACAGACGTGCTGGAATACTGAGTGAAACAGACTCAAATTTAAAACAAAACACTGGTGATGCTACTTGGAAAAGTGGGTGGCACTTTGTTTGCATTTGCAATGCCATTCCAAGAGACAAAAAAAAGCATAAAAGTTCTTCCTAAGTCCTGTACCAACCATTAACCACTATGCTCCCAAACCCGTACGTGGATTACACAGTTCCAGGACTGGAAAGTAGATCTGGCCAAATATCATGCTGGATTACAAAGAGCAGGAGCCAATTGTAATTTCACACTTCAATCCCAATAGAGTCATGGCATTACATGCTATTACAGTTAGCCCACACAAATAAAAGTTACACCAACAACTTCTTAGTGACTACTTCAGCCAGAGGAAGTTTTTATTAATATAACTTAATATGCTAGAAATGCACAGTGCCTGGACAAGGAATCCCTCAGACAGACAAGAACACCAACATCTAGGGTGCACAATCCTGATTTGGATATTTACTGCCTTTCCCTTGCTACCAGTAATTCAATGTACTGAAATTTTCTCATTGTAAGGGCACATCTAGAAAGACTGAGGGCAGCCCACTAACAATATCTTCAAATTACCTAGGGATGTACAATAAATGTGGTTTTGCTAGTATCATCCACATCCCAAATTCTTTTGGACTTTAAAAATAGTGCTATTTTGGTTGAATGGTCAGTGAAGTTGAGAATAGTATCACACTATGCATCTAATGTCAATACAAGAACTGCATGTGTTTTAGTGGCATCATGTAGCACCAGGAATCGATGCTTGGAAAAAGGGACTCTGAGTTTGTTGAAAAACATTTTCCCCATAAGCTGTTTACTTTTAATCCATCACAACTGATTCCAAGCCATGCAAAAGAAACACTTCCATGTCATCCCAATTCTTGGCTCAAGCAAAGAAACTTTTTTTCCCCAAACCCTTACTTTCCACCGTGCTAGTTTAACTAAAGATCCCCACCTCAGAAACCCTACTCAGTCTCCAATTCCCCCCATCCTGGCTAGTGCTTCGAGAAGAAAGGACAGTTAGCCATGAATGATTTTGGAATTAATACTGGGAATTGTGCAATAACCTTGGTAGATCTGAGAGTGTATGCTACATTATGTTCCTACCATCTGTCAATGCAAGTGCGCAACTCACACATTGTGCAGATAATCTGTTATTGCTCCGTGTGAAAATCAGTTAGCTATCTTACAGCAAGTGGAGGTGCGCTTTTGTGTTTAAATAAAGTGAAATCCCCTAATCAAAATGTTTCCATTTTCTACTTCACACTCAGAGACAAGGTTGCAGTATATTGCAATGCAATAATCAATAGCAAAGGGCGCCAAGCAGGAGCATCCCTACTTGGCCATGCTACATCTCAATATCTTCCATAAGCAATTGCTGATTTGAAAGGAGGCTTTTTAAAAAAAAATAAGATAGGGTTTCAAGCCCACAAGGAATTACTTTGTTTTACAATACCCAAGGTTCAGGTATCAGCAGTGAAAGGACAGTGTTCAAACACATGGGATTACCAGCTGCAGTACATAAAGTAAAGACTGCAGTGATGTTACTTCCATAAGCAAACACTGAAGGCAAATGCTCTAAGTTACAACACTAAAATCTTTGGAGCATCCAAGTTGCCTCTACTTTATAATTCATAAGAAAGTGGTAAAATATTTTTGAACAGGTACTGCATTGGGACACTACAGTTTAGAATCAGCAGTGGACTTGCACAATATTCTTCCCTCACTGACGGAAGAAAAATACATTACCATAGACAGTCCACCATGAACCTAACAGTGACAGATCCAGATATATCCCAATCATGGTAAAAAAGGAAGATTTGGATCCTTAATTACTTCTTCCGTCTTGCGGAGAAACGACGGCCTCTAGTTGCCCTCCCAGATCTTGTTTTGGGGGTATTGCATTCCAAGGGTACGTAATCATTCTCAAGCTCAGGCTCGTTACTTTCCCCTTTGACAGTCACTTCCTCGCATTCCTTCTCAGCCAAGGGCTCTTCTTCACCATCCTCTGTTTCACTGGGTTCCTCAACCTTGGTCAAGCTGAGATCACACTCCTCATTTCCATCCTGGTCATCATCTGCTGCTTCACTGCCAGTAATAGAACTCCCTTCACACCTCTCAGGAGCAGTCACCTGCTCCACTGCTAACCTGCCGCTGCCTAGTGCCTCATTGTTTGGGACAGGGACGTCAATTGGTTTGCAAGCAAAGTCTGTGACAGGTGCACTCTCAGAGATCTCTTCACTTCCGTCACTGGGGTTCTTGAGCTGGAGATTCTGAGAAGGGGAAGCACTGTCCTGGCCCACACTGGGAACGGCATCATCAACACCCAACAGAATAGGAGCCTGGATCTCAGAATTAGAACTCGCCTCCTCCATCTCAGGCTTGCTGGCAGCAGCTTCGGTAGATGTTTCGTCAGTGTTCATCTGCTTCTGATCTGCTGGCTTGTGATCATCTGTTGAACCAAGGCTGCTCACCCCAGATGGAGCTGGGTCTTGAGCAGAGGCTGATAAACAGTCTTGGGCTCTTTGTGCTTTGTAACCCTGTTTGGAAAAAAAAGTAAAATGGGGAAAGGCACTAAACATCTGGAAGTATCAGTTACAAAATGCATACTTTAAGTCAATTTTGGTCTTTTTTTTGATGCTGATTGTAACACATTTATATTTTTAAAAAAAATTGCCTTCCTTTCTAAGTTCCAATGCTGTGCCGTTCTCTGGTTGAGTATTCAGGGAAATTATCTGCTCCTAAATCTTGTGCTGATGCTACAAAATTGGCTAGTATGTTATTTGCTGACCAGTTCTGCTGCACTTCACGGGAGCTACACCATTTCTGTTTCGTGCCCAACACAACAGCACAATCCATTGCCTAAGAAGGAGCCAGAATCCTACAAGCTCAATGCTACAACTTGTGATAATTTTCAATTATCAGTTGACATTCATCCACCTAAAATTGCAAACCTCTCATTCACCCTGCAAATACTTAATTTCAGTTATATATAATGTTTCAGAGCATTTCAAATCTCCTTATCCTACCTCTGTAACCACCTCCTGCCACAGAATCTTCAGGGAACTCAGTATTTATCTAATTCTGGCATCCTGCACATCCCATTGGAATTGCTATATAATTGGCAGCTATGCTTTCAGCTGCTTAGACACTAAAACTCAGGAACTTCCCACCTAACCCTCTCCAGCTCTCACCACACTATCCTCCTTTAAGACATTCTTACATATTTCTTTGATTACAATTTTTCACGCCTGTTGTTAGTATGACACGTGCTTTACCATCAACCTTTGTTTGATAAAACTCCTGTCTTTAAAATAAGCCCAATATGCTAAAAGATTTCTTACATTCAACTGAGAGCTCCATTTGAATGGTAATGCCAATTAAATATTTTTCACTAAATCATGTTTTTCATTAACAAAGCCAAACTACTTTATTTAATTCATAATGAAAATCTTATAGCCAAAAATATTTAGAATCATAGAAAAGCACAGCACAGATGGCAGTCATTTAACCCATAGTCTCTGCTGGCTCTTTTGAACAGCAATCCAGTCTGACCCACTCCTGTCTCTCTACTTCATATCACTTGTTGCTTTCACTTTTAAACATGCATTCCTATTACTCCTTTTTAAACACTATTTCCTATTGAATACCTCCTGAACTTACTATCATATCTGGCTGTGCATTTGGAATTATAAAAAATATATTTTTGACCTAACAAATGTTAATGTCAAGCTGAGATCACACTCAGCTGCCAATCACCTTAAATCAATGCCCTTTTGTTCCTGACCTTTCAATAGCCTGGAACTCGTTTTTCTTCATTCAGTTTATTATTTTAAACTCCTCTATTCACTAGATCCCAATTTTGCTCCAGAATTCAACCACTGGCCAGGACTACATCCCTTATACTCCTCCACTCTAACTTGTGCCTCAATGCGATTTTGTGTTTTAACCATGTAACAATTGCAAGTTTTGTTTTTTAAGCAATTCAGTGTGAATAGACCCGATCTCTTAGTTCTACTTGTATAAGTGGCAGTGTATGAGCAGAGATATTCACACTGAATATTTTCAAACATACATTTCATCGGTGCAGTACGCTTGCCTTTATTGGTCAGTGCATTGAGTATAGGAGTTGGGAGGTCATGTTGTGGCTGTACAGGACACTGCTTAGGCCACTTGTGGAATAATCTGTTCAATTCTAGTCTCCCTGCTATAGGAAGGATGTTGTGAAACTTGAAAGGGTTCAGAAAAGATTGACAAGGATGTTGCCAGGGTTGGAGTGTTTGAGCTACAGGGAGAGGCTGAATAGGTTGGGGCTATTTCCCCTAGAGTGTTGGAGGCTGAGGGGTGACCTTACGGAAGCTTTTAAAATCATGAGGGGCATAGATACAGTGA